CTCTTAAGGGACACTCTTGTGAGACACTCTTGTGGGCCACTGTTGCGTGACACTCTTGTGGGACACTCTTGTGGGACACTCTTACAGGACACTCTTCTAGGACACTCTTGTGGGTCACTCTTATGGGACACTCTTGTCGGACATTCTTGTGGGACACACTTGTGAGACACTCTTGTGGGCCACTCTTGTGGGACACTCGTACGGGACACTCTTGTGGGACACTCTTGTAGGAAACTCTTGTGGGACACTCTTGTGGGACACTCTTGCGGGACACTCTTGTAGGAAACTCTTGTGGCATACTCTTGTATAGGACACTCTTGTGGGACACTCTTGTAGGACACTCTTGTGGGACACTCCTGTAGGACACTCTTGTGGGACACTCGTGTGGGACACTCTCATAGGACACTCTTGTGGGACACTCTTAAGGGACACTCTTGCGAGACACTCTTGTGGGCCACTGTTGCGGGACACTCTTGTGGGACACTCCTGTGGGACACTTCAAGTATCCAAAACGAGCGTTTCGTACGAGACTTCCTCCAAATATCACACGTCAAGTCTCCAAAACGAGCGTTTCGTCCGAGACTTCCTCGCGTTTCGTACGAGACTTCCTCCAAAAGTCAAGCGGAAACACCCATCGGAGCACACACATCACGCAGCCCTGCCAAGCAGATTCGCGATTCCAGCCCCTCCAAACAACACCCGCTCACACGCCAATCCCAATGTATACCACAACTCACAACCTCACGACTCCCTGCGCCTGCCACGCATCTTTCCGCGTCCACACGTCTAACGCGAACAAAGTGCTGCGCCTGCCACCTCACAACCTCACGATTCCCTGCGCCCGCCACGAAAATTGCACTTCCACATCTCAAAACCCGCACAAAGTACTGCGCCTGCCACGAAAAGTGACAATATAATCTCATGTGAGCTTCCACAAAATTTGCACCACACCACTCGTTTGGAATGAATTCGACACGTTCTGAGCACACGCCCATCCACCCAAATCGTCATTTCAGCTGAGACATGTCACGAAAACAGAGCTTCGATGCCACACCCTGAAACACAAATCCCAATGGCACAGCCACATCCAACACCCCAAAAACACGACTCTCCAAACGCTAATCTCAATGGAACTGCGCAGCAAACTGCGGATCTCACAAAACGCTGCGCCTGCGCAGTGAAATCATCCTCCACACTTCAACCTCTTACATTTCCACATGATTCCTCGCTATTTCACACGAATCTGACACGTCACGTTTTCATCCGAAACCCTCTCCAAAAGCTTCCCCCAATGGCAGCGCCTTAGCGCTCTACCGAACGGTTGCGAACGGTTGCGGACGGCTGCGAACATAGAAACAACGGGTCGCGAACAAGGCTCTACCCCCAGACCCCCAGAGTTAAACGAGAACCCTTCGCTACGCATTCGGGAAAAAGTGCATCACACCACACACTAAAGGAGGCACTCAAAAGAGAAACCCATGGAATGGCGTGCATTTCTTTTGTTGGACTACTTAGTCCCGGCCAGGTTATATCTGGCAGGTAGAACAATGGAGCCAAACTTTGACAGATGACAGATGCACTCCTCGACCACACGAAGCGCAGAAAACACCGAATACAGTAATCCGTGGCATCTCAAGTTGTGGAGTTGAGCAGAGCATGCAGAACCCAGAGAAGATCTGAGAAGTCTACAGTCTACAGAGAAGATCTGAGTCTAGTTGAGGTCTCAACCTGCAGCTGAACAGATCTGAGCAGTTGTTTTTTTGCACCGAGACTTGTCCTGAGCTCTCTGCCAAGTGCCTATGGCACAAAGAAAACAACCTGGCATCTCTCACTGAAGGCGATTCTTCGTCGGAACTGTTTGTCTATGTCTGTCTTCATCGTCAGCTGGGCCAAATCTACATTCACCACATTGAGCACACCTAAGCAACCGCAAATCCTTGGCACAGAGTGATCACTGGTTTGCACAAAACAAAGAGTGCAGCGTAGCTTTGTGCCAATCTGCCACATGCTATGTGTATGAACACACCGGGTTGCAAATGCATGGGCAGCATCCCTCCGCTTCACTGAATTCATGGCTGCCTGGCCTGGTGGCGGTCCACACACATTTTGAACCCGTAAGATCTCAGCCAACCTAGTTTCTTTGGTCGGAAGTGCCACTTTAACTGGTGCCGACATACGGTGCTGATGCTTTGGAGACTGAGCTTCACATGCACGTGGACTTACATTTCCCGCAGCGGAAACCTGAACAAAGTGGTTTCCAGTCATGTTCCGATACGGTATCGGTGCCGAAGAGTGCTAGTTCTCTCTTCTTGAGATCTATGGTCCCGCCACGGGTGGACGCACAGTCTTTGCGGAGCTGGTGAAGGAATTGGTGCTTTGTTTGAACCACATGCGCAATACGATCCGCTGCTTGAGAACGGCTGCTTGAGAAAGGACGCGCTCGTGAAAAGCATCAGCCGTCTTAACTTCAATTTGTTTCGCATGAGGTTGCTGCAAACTGACCCTCTCCCAAAAAATTCGAGAACAGCCACCCAAAAACTGATGTTATTGGAGGGCATGAAGAGCCACGTCCCCTCGACAATCTTGGATGAAAAGCACATGCACTTTGTCAAAAAATATAGAAATATCACTCAATATCACTCACAGGCCAAATCTCTTGCCAAATCTGGGCATACCAGCTGCCTATTCTCCAACATTTTCCACACTGAAGGTGACGAAGCCGACACCCTGCGCAGCGTTTCGGCCAGTTCCGCCTTCCGCCAGATGGACTAGGGCCGAAGTTAATGCTCTTGTTTTCATGTGCCGCCCTGGCGTCAAACCAGTCGCAGCTCCAAGTCTCAGCACTTCAGGTTTGAGGCAATGATGGCACATGCCAAAAAAGCACAAGCGAATCCTAGCATCCCCTTTAGTACAAAGAGCAACCACAGAAAAACAATGTCTTCAGGCACTGGGGTGCTGCTTGGTCGCAATCCACGGGACAAAAGGTGCCTTTCTCCTTCCAGCCGAAACCGATCGTTCCAGTCGACGGAGTGCTTGAACCCTTGCTGGGGCCAGAACTTACATTTCCACAGGACATGATTTGAGCAGTCTACAGTAACTGAAATATGGAGTAATCTGACGGGACCCGGACGCGGGCAAAATCGATCTGGTGCAACATTATGGGTTACCAGCTTTCTTTCCAAATCAGCGAGTACCATTCCATTTGGATCCTTCCGCTTATGCAAATGTTGCTACCCTCAGCCTAAGACCAATATAGTTGCTTGCTTTGACCCTGTGGCCTTGTGGATTCAGCGCGACAAGGTCAGAGCACATGGACGTGACCACTCAGGAAAACCTTTTGGAGTTTTTTCCACCTCAAAGACATGGACTCAGTTCAAGAGAGCTTCTGCAAGTACTGTACAAGCAAAAGCCATGCCATGTTCGGGCTGAGGTCCCGATGCAGTTGTTCTTTGCAATGTGATTGAACCTTATTCGCCAGAGGCACGGTGTAAAACGTGACACCATTTCACACATTCACAGAGCACAGGCGCGGCGACTCTTATTTTCTCACATCATGGAGTTCCTGTCTCTCAAAGGGTGCCTTCACTTACTTCATTTCATATAGTTCATAATTTGTTTTGCATGTCTGAGATTTGTTTCTTGGGTCGTCTAAGGCGCTTGATCGTTGTGATTGCAATTGGTCAGGCCGGCTTAGGCCGGCTGCTGAAACTAGTTCTATGTTCATGAAGTTCGGTCTTCAGATTCAAGGTACCGAGTTCGAGTCTGTGCTTGATCTGGTCTTCCCAACTGCCGTCGTCCTGGCAATCCAACTGGAATTGCGTTTTGCTTTGGATTTGACATGAGGCCAGCCAGCTGCAAGCCGATGAGCTTGAGGAACGCATAGTTTCAATATGTTTCAATGCACTTGGAAAGTGTGTGTGTATTTGTGCTTAGGTTCGGTGCTTAGTGTATGTTGTGAATCTTCTTCCTGTAAGTATTAGACGTGGTGGTCCGTTCGGTTCTGCAGTGTGTGTTGTCAGTAATTATATATCAGTAATTGGTCTCGGCTTGTGGTGGGGACCGGAAGCATGATTGCCGCCCATGCATGCCCATGCTGCCTCCATGCCGGCCTGAACGCCCCAATGCTGGCGACCTCTTTGGGCCTGTGGGGAAAACATGCCAGAACATGCCAGAACCAGGTCATGCCGCAACCTAACTTCGAGGCTGAGGCTGCCAGGCACCAGGCTCTAGGCACTTCTTTGAAATAGTCCCAGCTTGCGGCCTGACTGGAGCCGAGGCCGCTGCATGTCGAAAAAGGCCGGTTTGCCCCAGGGCTGTTTTTTGACTACTTTTTGCAGACATGTTTCGGGACCTCGGTTGGCTTGGTTGGTTGAGTTGTTGTTCGTTTTCGTGCGTATGCGGGGTTTCAGACTTGGGGTTTTGTTTTGGTGGCCCCGGCCACTTCACAGGCCACCCAGGATTCAATTAGTCTGTAGTCGTCACCCACGCACCTCACTCAAGAAGGCCACAGATCTGAGCCAGTCAGAATTATCGCAGATTGTAGAGAGGCGCCAGATCTAGAATTTAGTCGCTCAGAATGACCAGGTTTCGCAGGCGAGAAAAAGGTCAATTGAGCCATTCGTACACCAGGTGCGCACGGAGCACACAGCCGTCGTCCTGCTGTTGCGATTCTTTGGCTCGGTTGCGGTTCGGATGCTGCATGAGTGCACGGTGTCGGTTCGGTTTTGCGGAAGAGTATTGTTGAAACAGCCATGGTGTTTGCACGATTGGATGCAAGGCTGCCACTCGTTTTCACTCAAGTTGCAGGAGGAGTTGGTGGCAGCTGGCTTTGAAGTTGCACTGCCAGAGCTTATCAGGATCTACCGAGACAAGGAGTGATAATCGGAGAACGGCCGGAGACATCTAGACACGCGGTAAGTGTTCAAAGTCTTTGGTTGTTGTTTGTAAGCAGCAGGCTCAGCAGGGCTCAAGCCAGGTTTGAGGAAAACAAGCTTCTCATATCTTGTTGCAAGCCACACGCTTGAACAAAGCACGTTGTTTGGGTTTCTTGATTTAGAAGAAGCGCCAGCGATGGCGTTGAGATTTCGACGAGAAGGTGATCGCATCAAAAACAGAGTGCACATGGAGCGCAGCATGGCATTGGATGGGAATAAACTTTTCATTGTAAAGGGATATGTGATATAAGCGGTTTTCACCTGGTTCCATACTATGTATATGAACTGCGCTCAAAAAGCCCTACTCAAAAAATATAGATAAACGTACCCCCCTTGGAATTTCCTCTAAAGAATCAGCCAACCCGGGTTGTCAAAAACCAGGCCATTCTTTAGAGTTCACCATGCATTTTTTAGAGTTCACCATGCATTTTTTAGAGTGGCAACGGAGTGTGATTCTTTAGAGGTGCACTTTTTGCCACTGTCATCATGGACTGGTACCAGGTGTTCTGATTCTTTAGGGGGAGTCCGGGTGCCACAGGTGTGTGCGCACTGTGCTCAACGTGTTCTGATTTTTTAGGGCCAGTGCCCAGTATGTGTTGGCAGAGTCCTGATTCTTTAAGCTGACATGTTGGTATGGGCACTGTGGATTGAGGATTCTTTAAGGTGGCAGGTGGCAGGTGGCCTCCTAAAGAATCAGACAGTCCAAGAGGGAGCCCGAATTCCAAGGGGGTTATAAACGTAACCTTTAAAGGCTGTAGTAGATGTGTTTTTAAGTTTTCGTTTAGAAGCGGGCCCCCAGCAGAATATGGTGATACAGCAAGGCAGCGCTAGATTGGCGCCAGGTTGGCGCTAGGTTTCTTCATAACAGGATAGCAAGCAGGAAAAAGAAGAAACAAGCAGAGAGCAGGAAACAGAAGAAGCAAGACAAGAAAAAAGAAAAGCCAAGAAGAAGAAGAAGAATGCACAACAAGAAGAAGACAAGCAAGCAAGAAAAATTAGAATCTGACAGGATAAAGAAATCGACGGAGATTTTTGCGCTAGGCTGGCGCTAGATCCGCGCTAGCACCGCGCTAGACGACGGTCCATTTCTTGACCATTTGCCCATCCAACATCCAAATCTTTTGAGTCAGCTCTTAGGTCCTTCCTAACTATGTCGTTCTGAAGATTTCTGAGAACAAAAAGTGGAAACAACTGCAGGAGTCCAGCAGCAGCAGCAGCAACAGCTCGAGCATCTCAGCAGTCCGCGCTAGACACCTCGCACAGTTTTTGCAGTTCACACGCCTTCATGTTTAACATCCCTGTGGTTTGAGTATGGTTGAAGTTTAAAGGAGATTTAGAAGCGGGCCCCCATGGAACTGCGACGAGTGCACCATTTTGGGAAAAACATTTTGGAAACCAACCATATACATACTCTTACTGTACAATTGAACAGTCCGTCAGGGTCATAGATAGTACGATGCAAGGGCGATTGGGATAAATTTGGATAGGTCAGGAAGGGCCGCCTCACCAAAAATTCAACATGTGCGATGGGTACAATGTGGTTGAACCCATTCTCCGGCATTTTCTGTAATTCTGTACGGATTGGCCATCCCCTTGACCTTCCGTCGAATAGCAACGTTTCAATCAGTCGTCAACCCCTTCATCTTGTGCTTTTGCGTTCTTTCATGCCCTGACTTTGGAACAGCCTCTTTTGAGTGGTCAACCGCCCCAGTAATCAAATTTTGATGCCAAGAAATGGTGCCAAAGAAAGCTCGCCCACAAACGGGTTGTGGAAGAGACTTGGAAAACAGTGCAGTTTTCCTTTGGTGCAGTTCCCAGCAGGTTCTGAACCGCGCATTATATAGTTGTGGAGTGCTTAAGGTATAGTCTGGGGGGCATCAAGCAGTTGGCTTGCAGACTCATTGGAGGACCTGTGCATTAGCTTGCCTTTTTGCTTTCTTAGGTATTTTCTTGGTGCATGATACTGCAATCAAACATACTGTATTCTGATGTTAGCACACGCACGGCCAATGAACCTCTGAGGTATGGGTATTTCGCCATGGATTGAGGCGTGAACACAAGCTTTTCAACACAATCCACGTAAACTGCAGGACTCTCATGTTGCAAGTCTTTGGCCAGGACTTTAAATGGCGAGTGATTGACTGGCACTACCAGTTTTACATGGGGCCAAAGGCCAACAGCTCGGTAGAATATATACTCTGCAAATGTAGAAGTTTGGGAGGCGCGCAATGCTATTCTGTCTGACCAGCACCGTGCTCGCTCAGTCCAGGACCTCAGGGAAAGAGCCAAAGACAACCTGTTTTTGTTTCACAGAGTTTCCACAATTTAGTTGGAATTCGAAGATGTTTGAAGTGGGTAATTCCAAAGAATGAGATTGGTCATCTGAGCGTGTTGCCATCGGTTCCAAATCACACGGTGCCCTGAGGCGCACAACTCCCAAAGACAAATGTGATGCAAGATGATGCAAGAAATGCTATGACATGCTACGACATTGTATATAAATATGTCTTGCGCCATCAACTGACATGTTCAAACAGGCCTATGTCTTGAGTCCATTGCACCTAGCATTGTTTGCCACTTTACCAATCTGGACCAGGAGGTTTGCGACAAGAAGATCATCGGATTTGTCCCACGAGACCCACGTGACCCACGCGGCTCACCCGATGAATCTGGCAAGAAAAGGCCGACATAGTTTTGCAGCTGGGTGGCTGTCCCTTGCGTGTTGTTTCATTTTGTGTTTGCCAGGCCGTACGACAGCAGAAGGTGCAGATACCGCTTGAATCTATGGAAGCTTGATGAAGCTGAGATTGCGTCAGGACAAGGCATTTTGCTTGGACAACATATTTACCTCAGGTCGCAGCCTTGGCATGTGCTTTGTCAAGCGACTGATATTGATTGAGCACGCATGCGCAATCATACGCACAGGAGTCGCAGAAGTCACTCTTTCTTTGCGAGCGGTTCCGAGGTGTCACCACTTCGGCGAACATCGAACCCATTCTGTCCGGTCACTCCAAACAAAACTGGATGGAGAGAATACATCGAACACAAGGAGACTGTCGGTCTACTGACCGTGATGATGCAAAACTTGCTTGAATGAATACAAAGCTGGGGTCGAATGGATAATGTAGAGCATGCACGGCTTTACCTTTGCGATTGCTCTTCAAATTTAACTATTCAATTATGATGACTCCAGAGCAGTGCTTAACCAAGAGAATGACATGGTGCCAGCAGAAACCCTGAAATGGAACAGCACACTTGACGTTTGCCTGTATATAATTATGACACAATATTACATATATATATATTTACTTATTTATGTTTTGACAGGATATCCTTAGATGTTCCCGAGAGCGCCTGAGCGAAGGGTTCTTCTTTTAAAAAGAAACAGGTGCTCCTCTACATATCATCACAACTTACATCCGCACATATCCAGAGTTGCGTACTCCACACCAGCACATTTGCACATCTTTACATCTCACATCTTGACATTGGTACATATCCAGACATGCACATGTTCACATTTGCACATCTCTCTCTCTCTCCTGCTTTTTCGCTAGGGTGGTGCCGACGAGTCACCACGAAACACAATTCTCTCGCACGAAACGAGTGTCAAGTGTCAAAAGCTGACGGAGAATCTTGCGATTTCAAGCGGTCGGCGGCAACTCTTCGTGAAATGAGGGTCTAGTGTCAAAAACTGGTCCGCGGCGACCCTCTCGCACGAAGTGAGTGTCAAGTGTCAAGAACTGACAGAATATATTGTGGTTTTGATGTGTCCACTGTCCACGGCAAAGTTATCAAAAATTGCATGTGTCTTGTCAATATGCCATGAAGTATGATGCAGTGCTTCATCATTCTTCCGGATTACAGTATTTTTTAAATCCCGGACAACATCTTATCTCAGATCTTCACATGCGCACATGTCGCACCGCATAAACGCACACAAACCTGCATTAACTTGGAATACATCTTTCGGGCAGAGCCTAGTTCTTCTGCGAGCATGCGCATAAAACAGCATAAGCCTGCATAAACATCAACTTCACGACCTCTTTGGGATTGGACCTGAATCCACACATCATACTGCAAAAGCGCACGCATGGACCTGAATAAACATCACCTTGAAAACATCTTTGGGGCAAAGCCTGAATCCACACATATTACAGTAAAGCTGCACATGGCCCTGTTTAAACATCGCCTTGAAAACATCTTTGGGGCAGGACCTGAATGCATACATGTCACTGCAAAACCGCACACAAACCTTCTCAAACCTCCACTGGAAGACATCTTTGGGGCAAGACCTGAATCCAAACACTTTAACTGCAAAAACGCATACATGAATATCCACTGGAAGATATCTTTGCTTCCCTCCTTCTGTGAACATCCTTTTCTCACATTCCCTTTTTCACTTTATTTTTCACCATCTCACAGCGGGAAAATAGCTTTTGGCATGTTGAAAAACCTGGTCCCATCTCACACCCTTTTTTTCCCAAATGCGTAGCAAAGGGTTCTCGTTTAACTCTGGGGGTCTGGGGGTACAGCCTTGTTCGCGACCCGTTGTCTCAGCGTTCGCAACCGTCCGCAACCGTTCGCAGTAGGGCGCTAAGGCTCTGCCATTGGGGGAAGCTTTTGGAGAGGGTTTGGCATGGAAGCGTGATGTGTCAGATTCGTGTGAAATAGCGTGGCAGCGTCTGGAAACATCAGATGTTGAAGTGTGGAGGATGATTTCACTGCGCAGGTGCAGCGTTTTGTGAGGTCCGCAGTTTTCTACGCAGTTCCATT